CATCCTGTGCAACCAAGGCTAGGGAATGGACTAAGAGGTCATTTGCTACTTCATCTCTCACTGTACATTTCTTCTCATCTCTCAACCTACTGTGGTGTTTCAGTTCAAACACGAGTTGGAACACAGGCTTTTATCCCAGTTTCCTGGAAAGGGAACTGGCCTTTGAATTTAATAGAAACACATCATTCCATGGCTTCTCTAATTCTATGCACTCCTCCAACTTATTAGGACCTTAATGAGAGACTTTCTCTGGCATGTGCAAAGTCCCTTCTGAGTTACCAGCCTAATCCAAGTGCCTTCCAGAACTAGCTGCATTATGGAAGGGAACATTATGCCTGTGAACATCTCTTACAGGAGTCTTTTCTGTTTCCTCAAGCTATAAAGGATAACAACAGCAGGATACTCTGAGAACTCAACCAGCAGCTTGATGCTATGGCAAAACTCCCATGCTTGCCAGAGAGGAGCCCTGTCCTCTGCCATCTCAGGTCCCTCAGATTAAGAATACAGCTGAGCAGGACTTTTTTTCATTTTCCAAATCCCCAAGGCCAGTCACGATTAGTCTGCTCTTCATTCTGTTACCAAACCTCTGCTTGTCTCATTACATGCAGTTTTCATGACCACTACATTTCCCATGCCCCTGTGTTGGGAAAGCATTTAATCCCATGAAAATATGATAAACTGGAAACAGAGAGAAATGTATGGCATCCTGGGAGGGAAGAGAGAGGAGCAGGAAGGAAATGCATAGGTGTTGAAACAAATGCTGTGTGTGGGGACTGAAAGGCTGTCCTCCCACTGGAACCATGATTCTTCAGTACACAAAGGCACTAGAGGCATCTTCCAAATCCCTCCTTCTGCCTTTTCCTACCTGCTTGCATTTCCCTAAATGTGGTTGCAATTTTTCCCTTTTGATGTTGTGCCAGAAGACCATCTTATCTTGATTAAAATGCTCTTATAACACTTCGAAAACAGATAATCTACATCACATGGCTAATGCTCTATGTCCACCTTGGAGTGAGTTCACTGGAACTGGACTCAAGCCTTCCTCTCCATTTAGTACAGTGTTAAGAACCTACTGGATCTGTGACAACCCTGAATCCTCCCATGTTCCCATTCAGGTACAGAGCTGTACTCATGAGTTTCAAGCCGGAATAATTACTAGTCTTGCCTGCTACTAGCTTGAAAAACAGCAGCAGGTTACATTCTCAAGCAAGCTGAACTGTTAGGCTGCAGTCACCTACAGTCTTTGCTGGTCTGAAAAAGACATCTTACCTTGTAAAAGATATGCCCAGATAAAGCAACCACTGTACTGTGTTGTCACCCATTTGTCTGACCATAATTTTCCCATGCATTGCTGAATACTCAATCACTGGAAAAAAAGGAGTTATTTTAACAAAAAGAAGACAAATACTGCTATTGTACAGCCTAGTTCAGAGACCCATATCTCGAGCTGATTCAGCTTATCTGCTTTTCTATAACTTTGAAAAATGTATGTCTTGCATCACTTTTTTTTCTCCCTTTCCTCTGTATGCCTTACTGCTTTTCCTCCATGTATCTTATCTCCAAATGATGTGCTATTAATCAGCCTAAGACACCCTTCACTGCTAAGTGCTCCTCCACTGATTTTTCATCAGCACAAGTAGTTACTAGTTACAGCATTCCTCCCACATGCTGAAGGCTTGGGGGGGTGGAACGAGGCACGGCAAGGAGGTTAGAGGCTGCCTCACCACGTAAATACTATCTGGGAACTTTATACCGACCCGTTGGTTTGCTGTAATGATAATGTTGCTGTTTGTTCTCAACCAGGTACACGGTGGGAGGAAAGTGGGACTGCACTCTGTCTTATTTTTCAAGTTATTAACCTTCATGCTCTTCCCTTTTTCTGATTAATCTGGCTGGATGCCTGTTCAGTAGTAGCTGAAGCTTAATACCTGAAACAATGTGTGTATATACACTGTGCCAGGAAGGCTTGCCCAACAATGCACATCCAGTCGTGTTTTCCCATGCCTCCTGTCAATATCTCATCTTATATGCGAGCCCCCAGAGCCAGAGGAGGGGACAGGAAAAAAGAGAGAGGCATGCAGAGAAGGGGACAGAGGGAGGATGAAAGAGAGAAGGAGAAAAGAAAGTAGGGGAAAAAAATTAAGTCCCTCGGGAATGTCAACTGCTGTGAACTCAACCCCCTCCTCACCATGAAACGAGCTGTGTGCAGGCACAGGTGGGTCCCCTTCTCTGTTACTGGAGCACAGCCTACCAGCAGGGTCTAAATGAAGACTTTCATTGCTGTTCCCTGTTTTCATTGGAGTAAGGCCATCACAAACATTTGCAGGTGGCTTGGCCATAGTCTGACACTAAAATATTTGTGGTTGTGATAAAAATCAGAATATTGCTACAAGATGGTTCTATATAACCTTTGGGGCTTGATCCTGCTCTTACAGAATTAGCTCAATGAGAGTTTTACCCAGTTACTCTCTGCTGGTTTTACTGCTCATTAAAAGGCATATTCCTTGGTACAATTCTCCGTGGTAAAGACTCATCTACCCTTTGGGGCAGCTTCAGACATTTTAAGAAAAAGGGGGGTCCTGACCCAAAACCACAGATTCAAGAACCTTAGAATGTGGTCTTTTTAAAAAGCTGAACCATCTCAACTTCATAAGGCCAAACCAAAATGACCAAACTTTGCAGAATTCAAATATTTTCTGAATCAATCTGGATTTTTCTTCAGTTACCTAATATTGAAACCATTGTTCAGTCTGTATTCCTCGTGAATGAGTCTTGGATATAATTCTTTGCACGTTTAGAAGGAAAAGATGAAGATAAATGGAAATGACAAGATATGTTCTTTGAATAAATAAAACCAGCACCACAGGGAAAAGACTGAAGGAAAAGAAGACAAACAACAAGGATGCTCAACACTTTGGCAAGTAGATGAAGTCCAAAATGCAACAATTATCTCCTAGGACACACCATGGACAAAAAACAAAACCTCCTAGGAAGAGGGAAGAATGGGTAACAGAGTATTCTGAAGGTCACACCATAAGTCTTATTCACACACCAACTCACACAGAGACTAAAATGCTGACAATTGCTTCCCAATAGAGCAGCTTTAGACTCAGACTTGGGAAACATTTACATGATTCAGTCGCAGAGGAGAATTAAGATATGCCATGACAAAGTTTCCCCAAAAAAGACACCACTGACTAGGAAATAGGCCTCTTAAACCTCAATCCCTCAAAATTTGGAGATTCTAATCACCATGGCCCCAAACCAACGTAAAACCCAAAACCTGACTGACAGGGTCTTGCAAAACCACATGCAGTTTTTTTCTCATTATATAGAAACAATTGTTTGGAAGCCAAGTACAGTCCCATATAAAACAGCTCACCACTGAGTATTAAAAGTTGTTTGGGATTTTTTTTTGTTTTTAATTAGGATCATAATTACCACTAGACCTATTAAGCCACAATTTGAACAGGGGCTTAATCATTCTTAACTCAAATAATGGCAGTAGCTGTTTTTCTTTCTACAACTGAAAAAGAAACTGTTTCTTCCTCCCTCCCTCTTTCCCAGTCCCCTGTCTTTGAGCAGAATGAGACATGTAAGACAACAACCTTCTTGGACTCACAAGCAAACAGCACTGCACGTGAAATCTCAGTGAACACTTGTTTTGGCAATATGTAGTATACACCAAGGCACATCCATCAAATATGTTTACCTAACCCAGACTAACAGATTTCTATATTAAATATCAAATCCTGAAGTAGTAGTTGAAAAAAAAGAAAGCAGAGAAGTTTTGCCAGAGGTACAAAACTGGGGCAGTGGATGGAACCCATGCCCTCTGTGTGGCTGGATAACCCTTACGGAGCAGTCAGTGCCATAGGCCCTCCCTGCCACCATGGCACTGGGAGATGGAGAGCCTGTGGTCTCTGTATTCTGCCCAAACCATCAGGAATCTCGAAAGAAAACTCAAGAACAACTGGGTTTTGAGTTTTCAGTGCCAGGATTTCACTTTTTGGTTTCACTCTGAAGAGACTGCAAGTTGCTCATCAATTATTTAAACAATGACTGGGGACAGAGACTGCTTTTGCACTTACCATATAATGGATGTGACCAAATTACAAATGACAGATAATGAATCTAGACTGCTGCTTCATTCTCAGTCCACTGATTTATCTTTTTATCCATATGTTTTCATGCATAAACTCCCCAAATTCTCAGAGTTGTATGACAAAAAACTGCACCCTCAAACCAGCTGGGCAGTTTCCCTATAATTAAAAATGAGTTAATATGACTTAAAAATATCTCATGTTTGCTGAAAGTAACCAAGTATACAACACACGAGTGTTTTTGTTCACACAGTTCTCCAAACGTGAGCACACAATTAGAATTCAAGCCAATACAATAAGCATCCATAGCCAACTTATGGGAATAAATATGGATCCATCATCACAAATTGAGCAACTGTTCAGAAGTCTCCATGCCAAACTCCATTTATCTTAATGATCTTTTTATTTTACCTTCTAGCATTCCTCAATTAAACAGAGTATGTAGGAAATAGCCCAATCCCACTGCACACCCGGAATTCCAATTGAAGGAAGTGAAAGGATCAGCTTCAGAAACACTGCCTCTCTTCCCAGAGCCATTATAGAAACAACACGAACTTTGGAAGTAAGCAGATGAAAACAAAAAAAACTGCATGGAGAAAGCAGGACTTCCTTGCCAAGTACAGCACTCAACCACTTTTGAATCCAAGTGCCAGGTCTGGAGCAGATGTAGTAACCTGGCCATTCCCCCACAGCCTGCAACACACGTTGCAAGGGTTGCCGGGGTTCTTGCCACATGCTGGCAGGATCAAGTGCAAACTCCATAACCTCAAGAACCACAAGGACAACATCTGGTCCTACAGGCAGCTGAACATTAGGAGCCACGAGGACAACATCTGGTCCTACATGCTGCTGGAATCAGAGAGAACTGGAGAAATGAGAACATGAAAATGGAATTACCCAATCTGTCGATTTGTGGAAGGTGCTTGCGTAATGACTGAACTGGACTGTGGAGATGGCATGGCTTGTTGAATCACAACGCTGGTGTCATGGTTTGGCATCCTTGTATTTGTCAGCTGGTGAGATCCAGGTCCTCCCATTGCTCCTCCAACTGTGTTATGCATGGAGATATTCTGTGAAAAGAAGGGAAAAGGGGGTTGGTGGAGGGAAATGAGAAAGAAAGAAACGTCTTATCTTGTTTTCGTGTTCTATAGAAATACAACTAGAAATCTGAAAGTATCAATAATATGGCAAGTTACTGGCTCAGGGTAAATTCCAAGTCAATAGATCTTGTTGTAGCCAATAACAATATAAATAAATGAAAAATAACTATTCACTTTTACAGGACAATACAAATGGAAAAATACCTGCACATTGACTAATCACTCTTCTGTGATTCTGACTCATAATTTATATCAGGGATATTTAACATCTATTCTCCTAACTGAATACCATATATATTTTGTTTGACAATTACTTCTGTGCTGAGTGCCTGGCACCTTGATTTACTACAAGGGCTGTTTACTGCGTACTAGGCCTTCTTGCACTGACAAGCAAATCAAGTTTTACAGTCACATAGAAACAAACAGTACATGGTATGTCTTGAAACAGCCATTCCTATTAGCCTCCCAGAGGCCTAGAGTAACGTCACTGTATTTACACACATATAATCTCTGCTGCGGGTAACCTGGAGCCCTTAAAAACTTCTTAAAAAAAAAAAAAAAAAAAAAAAGGATTATCCTGCAGTGGATTCTTGCCTGCTAAGTGCACCCTAGAAGGATTTTTCCACCTCCTGCTGCTAAAGCTGGTGATGCAGGAAGCATGGTATTTTTCCCAGCCCTGGTACTCTCTTTAACAGAGAACTCACAGCCACAGAGTGAACAAGCCATGAGAGACCAGGATGCTTCTAAGGAAGGAACCTTGGAATAAAACCTCTCCCCTATTATCCCTGCACACACAATACACACTGCTGCTAAACCGCAGGGTTTGACTTGGCCCACATTTAAAAATAAACAAAGCTCTCAAGCCAGAGATTACCCACAGTGTATGCATATGAAAAATATGGTAACCTTGAGAGTATTATTCTTCCTATCAAGCACCAACATGCAGATTGTTAGCAGCCAGAGGAAAGAAACTTTCCATTTCCACCTCATGCTTGGCTGAGGAAAAGGGAAAAAACACCTTTACATGCACTCTCTGCCACCAAGACTCAACACAAAGCATCTTCCCAATTGTTGCAATTCTCAGGATCGAAAACTAAAGTTACATTTCATTCAAAATTCAAGTTTATGAGCCAATTTGTCTAGGAAACATGTAAAAACCACACAATACTGCTACATAAAGCTAGTGAGAAAGGAAACTCAGAGCTCTGCTCAAACGTGCAGGACAGGAGAAGCAGACAACACATTGAATCCCAGACCTAAAAGAAATATCACATTCTAAACCAAAACAAGAATAAAACCTTTAGATTTCATTCCCCGTGGAAAAGGAGCCAATAATTAGAGGATCTGCTCTGAAGGCCTTAGCTGTCATCCCCCTGAGTCCAAAATCTAATATGCTTCAGGTGATTTCAAAGGCTCCTGTGGACACAGGGATCTCTTTCTTGCACAGGAGGTGCTCCAGACTTCATAAACACACAAAGAGGCAGGGAGGATGCCACATGGTTAGATCTCTTGCTCAGTATGAAGAAGAACCATCTCTGAGCTCCTGTTAATAACTCACAAAGTATGAAACATGTCCAGCAGTAGAATAGCCAGTATTCTCTTAGGAGCATGGATTGCAAGTTAAAGCCAGATCAAGGACTTTAACAGTAATTTTTCATAGCTCAGTGGTATGTCACAACTATCAGGCAGTAAGAGGAAATAACCTTTGATATATGGAATCTTTTCCAAAAGAAGATCTCCCTCACATACATTTCTATAAAAATGTCACTTCTTCAGTGGCTTAGTGTTTTTTATGAAAAATATTTCTGGTAAAAAAAATAGTCTATACACACACACACATATATATGTCTATCAAATCTAGTTCAGGATTCAAAACCACACTGGCTTTTTTTTACCATTACAAGATTGTGCAAAACCAGGTCTAATAATCTATCCATCTGCAAGTACATCTTTTAGTACAATCACTTCCTAAAGTTTCACCATTATATTAAGTGCATGTTTTTCAATTAAAACCTAGCAATATGTGATATTAACTTATAGTGCTGTTTCAAAGTTTTAACAATTTCCAATAAACTGTATCTTTTGAGAAAGTAGGCTGAATGTGTAATGCACAGGAAGTAAAAACAGAGTGAAAGCTGTCAATGCATCCAGATGTCCATTCTTCTCAGTACTGCTAGCTTTAATGCAAGTCCTGTTGTTGGGCAGGAACTGTACCTTTATACTATGCTGCCAAGAGAAAGCCTAAGATTTCCCAACAAAATGTCAAACTCAGCATGACTCTCACATTCATAAGAAAAGGATTTGGCAATCTCAGAATAATTTACATCAATGAAGTGCTTGTGAATTTACAGAGAAGTTCAAGCAAGTTCATACTTAAATGACAATGCCTCTGCTTTGAAAAATGGCAGGAAAATAATGCCCCATAGATCTGACACTAAGTCTATCTGATCTAGTCATACATATCATGACATGCAGAACGACTCTGCATTACCAGCACAGCAAGACTAGGCTTGTTGCATGTGTGATGCAGATGGCCTTCTGAATTCCCAAAATGGCTTTGCTGTATTGAGCTCTGCACCTGATTCTGGATGGATGTGGATAAGATATTAATGAGTTCCTTGTAGACTCAACTTTGGGACCTCATAAAAACAAGACAAATTCAGCAACATTAGCCAAAACTGAGCCCTCCACTTTACAGCTGAATTGTTATTTGGCTGGGCTGCTTTCAGCTCTACTTTCAAGGAGTTCTGCATGCTCTTCTGCCAGGGATCAATGAAGAACACCTCACTTCGACTCCCTAAGTCGACTTCCTAAGCCAATGGTTAAGATGAATTGATACTAGGTGAGGAGTTCCCAGCACACCAGCTCAGAGAAGAAGTGAACAGGAGTGATGACATAGACAGAGCTCTCCCTCTGCTTTTAACACTCACAACACCCATCCATTCTCTGAGACAGTAGGACATACACTCAGAGTTTTCTCAGAGATCTTCACAACTCTCCTTCAACATTGGAAGAGGGCATAGGAGCTTACTATTACTACCCATTTTATTAAACTTAACCTAAATGTTCATACAAGGAACAAGCCACTTGCATGCCAGGAGCTGCAGAGACATGAAAGACATCCCCTGCCCTTAAGATTAATTTAATGGATCTTAATTAAGATCTAATAAATTAAGAGGAATTTATTTCCTCTAGGACTAAGTTTCATCCTTATCAAAGCTCCCAGTCACTCCCTCTGAAATAGAAACTGGGATTGTAACACTGAACAGCTTTTATAGAAATGCTCCTCTCACCCATCTGTTCATACTGTACACTCCAGCAGTATTTAACACTAAAATAAATAACATGAAAAACAACAAACCATATCCACAAACTGTTTTTAAATCAACATGCTCATTCTCAGCCTTTCCAGCTGCAAGAGGAAAGGGAATAGATAATCATCAACCTGACTTCTCCCCAGTTCCACTTTATTCCCCGTTTTAGCTTCAGTCTTTCAAGAAAACATTTGAGCATTTTTCTCCCACATGCGACCGTTTAACTTTGGATAGGCAACACACGGCTCTTTTTTTCTAAAGGCTAAAAACTTCTTGAAGTCATACTTCCATGTTCTGGTGGAGAGGATTACACATCACTCCACAAGAACACACACCCTGTTGGCAAGCACAGCAGAGAAATGACGGCTCCACAGACACAGGCAAAATACTCCCCATGACTCCAGGCAGTCACCATTTCCACTAAATCCTGGCTCTTCCAGAGAAACACCCATCCATGTCACACTGCACTACCTGTATCACGCATCTCCATCTACCAAAGGCAGAGGATGAAGACAGACACATCCTTTACCATCCACTGTAATATTCTGAGTTTCAAACAAAGATTATTTATGATACTAGTTTGGTTTTTAAACTGTAAGAGCCAGTTTCTGAACCAAAGCCAGTTTATATTTTCCTACGGTTCTTTTTTAACTATCAGTTTTAATGAAAATTGCCAATAGCAGTTTTATACAAACTGAAGACTCACTCAGATTGTTCTGAATGAGCTTTTAGATCCATAGAGCTGTCACCTATAACCAATTGTGCATACATATTTTTTGCAGTCTATCATATACATTCTAAAGTCGGAAGGTGTTAGCCATGAAAAAAATGAGAGAAAATCCAGTTCATCTAAACAAAGACAAAAGCACTTTTTGGTATTTTTTCTGTTTTCTGCAAAAAATAATTTCAAGGTATTTTCCCAAACAGCAACTTTAAATATTTTTACAATAATTCAGGAGAAAAGGCATCAACTTTGAAAAAAAATTAAAATTTAACCTAAAAATAAAATATACAGCAATATTTTAGTATTTATATAGCCTGTCCTCTCAATTAATTAATTTTAGCAATGATAAATATTCAAAGCTGTCCCACTTTCAGGCATTTTACAATTTATGGGGAAAGAAAATGTGCATTTCTAACCTAAAGTGTTCTAGAAGGCTCTACAGACACACAGCATTCAGGGCAACCAAGATACATCTTTAAATGGCAGCTACATGTGCACTTTTAAGAAGTGTACAGTAGCATCTTGCTTGATTATGGAGATCATAACTTCACAATATACATAGTACACAGTAATGGAAGCCACCAGTGACACACTCACCCACTGCACATGCTGCTTACAAAACAAACAAACAAACCTGCTAGCTTAAAAACGTGGAAGACATTGTAGAGTCATAGAATCATCTTGGTTGGAAAAGACTTTTAAGATCATAAAGTCCAACTGTTAAGCCAGCACGTATCCCCACATGGTTAAGTCCACCACTAAACTATGTCCCTAAGTTCTACATCTCCACATCTTTTAAATACCTCCAGGGGTGGCAACTCAACTACTTCCCTGGGCAGCCTGTTCCAGTGCTTGACAACCCTTTCAGTAAAGAAATTTTTCCTAATATCCAATCTAAACTTCCCCTGGAACAACTTGAGGCCATTTCCTCT